TGACCCCTCCTTCCACCATCCCGACGTCCCTCCACTCATCTGGAAACAGGCCACCAGGCGCGGGTACTCTGGACACCCCTGGTCCCTACCCTGGGGAAGTGGGTTCTCCACGTAACCATAAAGTGCCATGCTGGAGCAGAGAGGGAGCTGCAGGCTTGGGGCTGCCAGGATGTCCCCACCTCCAGGAAGTCTCCCCGGATGCCCCTGCCCTCACTGGCTCCTGAGCATACAGCCCGCTTGCCTGCTTCTGCAGCCCACCCTGTTCAGCTTGAGGGTGCCAATGACAGGGCGCAGGGGGACAGGAGGTCCACGCTCACCATCAATGGCTCCAGTGACAGTGACTGCACCACCTCCCTGACCCTCCCCCTCCACCTGCTCTTCTGGGGCTGGTCGTGGAGACTGGGCCACTGTGGAGGCCAAAGCCAGCCGGCACAGTGGACCGAGCTCAGCCTGGGCCCCGGGGAAGCATGTGGGGGACTCTGGAACCCTCGTGGGGTAGGCAGGGGCTGCGGGGCTCCCTCCTCCTGGCGTGGTGCTCACCTGGAGAGCAGGTCGGCGTGGCAGTAATAGTCGGAGAGCTTGCTGAGGAAGGAGCGGGGCTCCAGCACGAAGGTGGGCAGCGCCACGCGGGACAGGTCCATGCCGGGCCGCAGCTGCTTCAGCAGAACCCACACCAGGCTCCTGTTCTCCTCCGACACGGTCTCCACCTGGGACGCCTCGCCCAGCTGCAGCAGAGGGGCCGAGGTCAGGCCCTGGGGGAGCCAGGAGGGCGGGTGGGACCGCAGCAGCTGGCCCTGCTGGAGGAGGGGACGCCCACGGGTCCCAGCTCAAGCACCCTCATGCCCGCCTCTGTCCCCTGCCTGCGGGCCCTGCCCCTTCCAGATGGCTGACCTGTGCCCTCTGAGTGCAGGGCGGAGCTGCCCCGGCCTGGCTATTGTAACCTGCCAGTGGATTCTGTGTGACTGTCCCACATGCAGGGGGAAGCCCCTCCCAGCGGCCGGGCTCCTGGGGGCCTGGAGGCGTCAGTCTGTCTAACGTCACAGTCACGCCCCAGGCAGGTGCTGCAGGCCCGCTCTCGCATTAAAAAAATACGTAATTTAAAACATTTCTTTTTCTTTTTTCTTTTCAACCACTTTATGGAGGTATGAGTGGCATATAACAAACCTAATGTCTACTCCCGATGACTTTGGAGGTAAGGACACACCCGTGAAACCGTCACCACAGTGAACACCATGAACTTATCATCACCTCCAAAAGCCCGTGCTTCCTTTACAAAGGTTCCCTCCTGTGTCCGGGTCACAGGGCTACAGGCTCACTTGCTTCCCTGTGGCGTCTAACCCTCGTCGTGGCTGCCAGACACATGCCACGGCTTGACTGATCCTTGGGGCTTTGGGCTTTGTCCCTCTGTCTCCGGGCAGAAGGCAGGGCCTTGGTTTCCCCTCCACACCAACAAGCAAACCCTTGTGTGGGCAGCATGATCTCAAAAAGGGTGCTGGGGACAGTCAGGAGGTAGGCTCCGTGGGGTGCTCTCAGGACAGGGCCGTCCGGCGGGGACCATCTGCCCACGGGAAGTCCCACCAACCCGCAGTGCCCGGGTGAAGGCCAAGCCCCACCGCCCTTCCTGGACACTGTCAGGGTCTTCCTGCTGTCACTGCTGGGACGCCCCTGTGGCTCTGAGGCCTGGGGCGTGGCAGGACTTNAAAAAAAAAAAAAAAAGACAAAAAAAAAAACATTTCTTTTTCTTTTTCCTTTTCAACCACTTTATGGAGGTATGAATGGCATACAACAAACCTAATGTCTACTCCCGATGACTTTGGAGGTAAGGACACACCCGTGAAACCGTCACCACAATGAACACCATGAACTTATCATCACCTCCAAAAGCCCGTGCTTCCTTTACAAAGGTTCCCTCCTGTGTCCGGGTCACAGGGCTACAGGCTCACTTCCTTCCCTGTGGCGTCTAACCCTCGTCGTGGCTGCCAGACACATGCCACGGCTTGACTGATCCTTGGGGCTTTGGGCTTTGTCCCTCTGTCTCCGGGCAGAAGGCAGGGCCTTGGTTTCCCCTCCACACCAACAAGCAAACCCTTGTGTGGGCAGCATGATCTCAAAAAGGGTGCTGGGGACAGTCAGGAGGTAGGCTCCGTGGGGTGCTCTCAGGACAGGGCCGTCCGGCGGGGACCATCTGCCCACGGGAAGTCCCACCAACCCGCAGTGCCCGGGTGAAGGCCAAGCCCCACCGCCCTTCCTGGACACTGTCAGGGTCTTCCTGCTGTCACTGCTGGGACGCCCCTGTGGCTCTGAGGCCTGGGGCGTGGCAGGACTTGGCTGAGGACCCCCAACGGAGGCCCTGAGCTGGAGAAGACAAGTGTGTGTCCCACGCTCCCAGCAGCAGGCCCAAGCTCGGGGCTCCCTTCTTTGCTCTAGACTCTCACCTCGCAGCAGCCCAGGGCACCAGGACTGTCCTGCCCGCTTTACAGAGTGGACGGGTAACGTGCCTGAGGCCACACAGCAGCAACCAGTGGGCCCTGCATCACGATCTGACACCGCCCTGATGGGCCGCCTCAGGCAAGCTGCCGAGCCTTTCTGTGCATGCAGGGCTGTGGACAAGGCCTAGTGGCACTGCCCTAGCGGACAGTATGCTTAGGCCCCTAGGGGACGGGGAGCCCCTGGAGGCAGGGGCCACGTCTGCCCCATGAGGGGGCTGGCTGATGGGCAGCCACGTGGACCCCAGCTGCAGCCTGGATTTCCAGCCAGCCGTAGGCTCCCACGGCAGCTGTGATTGCTAGGTATGCCCCTGCTCTGACGCTGGCCCTGCGACACCTGTGCTCCTGGTCCCTACCGCCTCCCTGCCCCCACTACTCTGTGGAGCCTCATGTGTTCAGCCTCGGAAGGTTGGGGCGCCCCAGCTGCCTCTCCATGCCCGAATGCCCAGACCTCTGTCTGCCTGGAGCCTCAGACGGCCCCCCTGGAGCAGCATCTCTCCTGGATGGCTAACGGTGTCCCCAACACGAGACGAGACATCCTGTCCCCTCCCCTCCCCTCCTGCTTTTCACAGCAACATCTGGGACCTGCCCGCTGCACCTTAGGAAACAGCCTCAACCTGCCCACTCCCCCTTCTCCATTGACACCTGGTCCACGGTGCCCTGGGCTTTCTCCTGACAACGGCTGCTCCCACAGGTGGCTTGGCTTCCCCAGCACCCTGTGCCCGGGCCCCGTGTCGGCCTCCCCATTCCTGCCCACGCAGGCAGCCCACTCCCCAGAAGAACAGCAGCCCCTGCAGGGAGGCCGCGTTCTCCACTGAGCACGAGCGACTGCACAGAGCACCAACAGGAAGGCACCACCCTCTGTCCGTGGCGGGGCAGGACGCAAACAAGGCACTGTCCCAAAGGACAGCAGGGACCAAGCAGCCCCTTTCCTGCTGAGGCCAGGGGCTGCTGCTCCTCCACCAACCACAGCCTCAGCCCGTTCCTCCCTCCCTCCCTTCTGGA